TTTACCTAATATAAGTTTACATCATTCTTGAATCAAAATGTCATTCTGCACTTTGTAAAGTAGACAGATTTATAATTTTAGTCACCGCTAGGATTCCTCCCCTTTCGAGTTTTTGGATGGAAAGAACACAGCATTACCAGGATTTTGAACTTGTTAATTATGTTATACTAACGAGTGAGTTTTGTTTCATCGAAATAACAACAACGAGCAAACAAATAACTACAGGTTATAACAGTCTGGAGTGTGGGGAATCATTACAAAATGTATGTTCAACTTTTGTTAAAGATCGAAACCGTTCGAATACTTTAAAATGTTATATTTTGACCACATAAACCTGCTCTGTACTTACAAACGAATACACACCTATATACAATAATAATCAACAGTCTTTTGGTTGATGTTTTTTTTTTCCATTTTAGTTTGGAAGAATGGCACCTAAAGCCTATTTCAGTCGTTTAATATTTCATAAAGATTGACAGTAAGTGGGCCAGAGTAGACCAGAAAACCGCATTTTTTGTTTGTTTGAAATTAAACACAAAGCTACACAGTAAAGATTGACAGTAAGTGGGCCAGAGTAGACCAGAAGACCGCATTTTTTGTTTGTTTGAAATTAAACACAAAGCTACACAATGGGCTATCTATGATGTGCTCACCACAGGTATCGAAACCCGGATTCTAGTGTTGTAAATCCGCAGGCATACCGCTGTGCCACTGGGGGCTCACATTTTTTTGTAAAATGTTCAGAATATTTTAGAAACCGTGACAGAAAACACTTCCTGAAATAATTATTTCGTGTTATTTTGCGACTGCGCACGCATCTTAGTGGAACTTACATCGATGGTAGAGTAGAACTTTAGTAATTCAACGTACTGTCATTAAACTTATTCACCATAAATTGTTAGTTTTATATGTATTCGCATGGCATGTTGTAGAGCAGAAAACGTAAGTAACCTATAAGTTATGATGTAAAAATATGCCTATTTCGGAGTTACTTGGAGTACACAATGTTATATTGTTGAATTCGTATATTGTCAGAAATTTTAAGAATTACGTTTGCATGCAATTTGGGCCATGTGTAGCCTAGCGGTTACCCTTTCTATACTGCCGAGGATTCATGGTTCTTTGCCGCAAAAACATGCTCCGTATTTTGGAGATCGTAGGTGCGTTGTAAGAGTAATGGTCAGACCCCATTATTCGGTCAGATAAGATAATCCCAAGAGTTGGTGGTAGGTGCTGTTGACTGGTTGCCTTCCCTCTAACTTATTACCTCAAAATTAAAGACGCCTCTTTGCAGGCACCACTTGATATCTTTACGCAAAATTCTAAAACAGACTAGGAACAAGCGTACAATGTAATCAGTAATTCCCAACCTGGGGTCCGCGAAGGTAATACTGGGGGTTCGTGAGCTATTTTCTTCAATTAAATAATGCACGGAAGAACACAGAATAATAGCAGGTATTGTTTGTTTGTTTGAAGTTATACACAAAGCTACACAATGGGCTATCTGTGCTCTGCCCACCACGGGTATCGAAACCCGGTTTCTATCGTTGTAAGTCCGCAGACATACCGCTGTGCCACTGGGGGCTATAACAGGTAAAAATGCTGAGACTGTTCTATAACTCTCATAGTTTTTCTGGCTCTCTTTGTATTTGAGAAAAGCCATTAAAAATTCAGCTAAACTCCTCGATGCGTCCTCTAGGAAAAAAATGTGGAACACTATTAATAAAGCAACATCAATCATCTCTTTAAACAAGTACGTTTCTTTTTTTAATACGAATGTTTTTTTTTAATTGCACACTCAGATATATATGTCTTTTTTGTGAGAGTGAAAATGGACAAACAAGTTAAGTATTAATTAATAAAAACAGTTTGTTGGGTATACAGAATATTTCAAAAACATAGTGTACGTCGGGAAAAAATTATAATAAAAGAGGTCCTTGGTGGTGAAAAAGTTGGGAACCACTGATCCAATTTATACTATTTTACCCAGCCCCCAGTGGCACAGCGGTATGTCTGCGGACTTACAACGATAGAAACTGGGTTTCGATACCCGTGGTGGGCAAAGTACAGCTAGCTCATTGTGTAGCTTTGTGCTTAACTTCAAACAAACTATTTTACCCGCAGCGTCCTCTATTGGCAGGTACATAAACCAAAACAGAGTGCAGTTTTGAAAAGGTTTACCTATAATTTGTAAATCAAATAACTGGGAACTAGTAACGATTGGTTTAAGTTTATTTTCTACTCTATGTGAAAACGTCAACTGAAAGATAGTTTCAGTTTATTTATTTTTTTATCCAATTAAACACAATTAAAATAGTTACTCCTCTACTTCGTATCCTCACGTGTGTTGACGTATACGGTGATTACGTGTAGTTGTGCGAAGCTATAAGTGGTTGGTATTCACAAGATATTTTGCATATATATACTACTGGCTGAATAATAAGTTTCAGTAACTTCCATCAAGTGCATGCCATATGCTTTCATTTTCGAACACTTATCATTCCATTTAGAGACTGTTTTAACCTATATTTCTTGTAAATATATGTAAACATAATACTAATAAAAATAAGATTGTGGTCTGATGAACAGCTATTTGATTTTTTTTTTCTGACTTTTCCAGTCGTCTATGATTATGTTATCCAGCTTTCAAATAGCAATTATTTCTACATTTGGTAATAATTATTAGTATCAATGTTTTAGATTTCTCGAAGTCAAGAAAGTTCTAAGAGCGTATTAAAAGTTTGGAGTGTGTATGTTTTCCGGTGGGACTAGCTAGCTAGCTAACGCTGTAGGTGGGCAACAAATTTAGAGAAGGGGTAGGAGTATTCTACCCCATAAAATCGAAAAGAAATTTGTTGTTTCTGAGAACAACTTTTATTAGTTTATAAATTGATCACAATTGTTCATTTATTCACGTTAAAATTGCATGTACATAAGAATAGAAACCTGAGATAAATATTACACAGAGTTTAGTTCGCGTTACATTAGAGTATAAAGACTGCCATAAAGGGCTGTTCTGGTCGTACATTTGTTTCATGCCACCAACAAATCGTAACAAAGACTTATAGCACCCCGGAATTAGAACTTTTTATTTTCTTGATACTTCTAGAAAACTGTAAATATAGCTGTCAATCATGAAGTTTCTGCGGTATATGTTTGTTTATTATCAAGTTAGAAGAATGTATTTATAATTCACGCGGGGGGGGGTCTTCCAAACTCAGTGAATTCCCCCAGTTTACTGGCCTAGAGTATGCCTAAGGTCAATGATCTTCATTGAAAACTTAGGGAAATTTTTATATATCCTACTTCATGATGTAATCGTCAAATCCTGATGTTAATTCTAAGTTTATAGTTTGCCGAATTTTAAAACCTTGTGAATTTGATGGTGAATGAATAAAATATTGAAAACGGTCGATTGCAGGAATCGTTTTTGATATTTTTATTTTACTTTGATATTATTTATTAGCAATGAACATTTTCAGAAGTCATCATATGTAAGGGTTCTCTATGTATTCTAAATTAACGTATTAAAAATGTAAGGAGTCAAGCTAGTAGATGTTACAAGTCTTCGTATTGTTCAATGCATATAGTTCAAACGTATTTAGATATTTCGAATGGCTTAGATTTTACTGAAACATTATGTAATAATTCAAAATTCAGTATATTATTCAATATATTCATAGAAACGTTGAAGGTGAAGAAGTTACGATTCACGAAATCTCCCCTCATCAACAAAATGGTTTAACCCGTAAGCTGTAGCATATTCCTACACGTACATCGTGAGGTATGAATCGCATGTTCACGAAACTAAGCTTTCCTAGCGCAACATGCAGAACTAGCGGGAAGCTGGTGAACTAAGTATGGTTGGAAGTACAGTGCTTGTTTTGGCGTTGTGTGCTTTACGTGTGCCATCTCTCGGTCTGTGAAACGTAACTTGGTAAAGTCCGTACCTTAACGTCTTACTGTACGTTTACTTTAGTTAAGAAACTTGTGATTTTGTTCAAGATCTATATTTCTCTTTGTGAACATTATCTCAATAACGTCATATCTACACCAACAAGATGTGAAATACAAATTGACGAATTTAACCATATTAAATAATAACGACCTGTTGGATAGTGATGTCTGAACTAAAGCTTGGATTCTTTGACAGTAGTCATGATTCATGGTGTGATTTACGGTAACTTTTAACTTCTGGATGGATTAGGCTTAGAAGTACAACTTGCAAGTAATCAACCTATTTTTACAACAACGACAACCGGATTTTTTGAATATGTTATTAAGCTACTGAACTACAAATCCTTCCTCAGTTTATAGTGATCTAGTGTGTAACTTCTATGTATAGTTATAAATTAGATTATTAGAGAACTTTAAAACTAAAAGTTTAAGTGGTCGTACGTGCGAGTGACAATGTGACGAACAAAAATGGGAATTTAAATAAGTGTAACTTTTAAAATTCGTTTCAACTAGTTACCGTTAAACTTAGTTACTCCATGACAGTACTTATATAATTTATACTAGTAGTAGCATAACCGATATCGTTCAGTCATGCTTTAAAAAAAGAAAACGTTTTAGCGGGAACTTCTCATGGTGAAATAGTGGCAATTATAAAATTTTAACATCGTAAAACCCATGACTACGTAAAATATGTCGACGTAGGCAACAGTTTGCTATAACTGTTAAGAAAAGGAAAATACACACATTTGGGGTAAATCGGTAAATGCTTCCTTCATCCTTTACCAAAGTGTACTGATTGAACTGTGAAGTTGGAACATGAACAAGGTAATGTTATTATAGTCACAGTAAAAAGGAATTGGAGAACATTTTGAAACTCAAAGCTGAGTAACCTTGGTTTAAAAAAAATTCAGACTATTATTTTATTTTCAAAATTGTGTACATTGCTGGGTAAAAACACAGATGAAGCCCATGTTCAACCAACCAATGCCTGGAGGGCCACCTGGTGACCCTTTTTATTCTTCACCATTTTCTTCTTATTTCAGACGTCACACTCCATATTTTGGACAGCCTGATTATAGAATATATGAAATGAATAAAAGGCTACAACTACGAACTGAGGTGAGTTTATACGTAAATGTTTGATGTTACCATGACCCTAGTTAGCAATAATTTCTGGTGGATTTTTTCTTTGATAACTTTCAATAGTCAATTAAAATATATTGTGTTTCCAAAATAAAATATTAAGTAAAAGTTTCCATGGCTATTATTGTTTATTGAAGAGGTAATTTCCCATAGAGTAAAAATTATCAGTATGAATAGCATTTAAGAATAGTGAATAGCATTTACTATTAAGTATTATATCTTATAAAATTACTAGTTAAAGTACTAGTTACTGGGCCTGCAGTCTAGTAGTTGTACACAACTGAAACTGTTTAGTCATCATTAGTGTTATTCAAAGTATCTTTTAATAATATCTTGTTTTACCATATGAGTGGACAACATGATCCCACTCTTTAAAATATTCCCTCACACACACACACACACACACTATTAGAGCTTTTAGGTTTACCTTGACCAATAGCTCATGCTATTGCTTCAATTCCCAATTGGATAACTTCCCATTTTGCTGTTTTATTTCGGTGTTCAATGAGTTGTTCTTGAGATTAATGAACCTTCATTAACAGGTAAGAAACCAGAGTTGATAGTCATTTTGTACAGTTAACAGTCCCAGTATTAACTTGTTATTGTTGTTTGTTTTAACACGATGCTCTGTAACAATCTTAGCCAGAATATGAACTTGCGAACTGATGCTGCCGAGTATCTGATAAACTAAACTTTCAGTTGGAAACATTATAAAATGAATAGGCTGTGAAAAACATTATGACTAAAACTAACTTCAACAGCTGAAATCGACAGTATCCCATTTAACAGAAGAGTTGCAAGTGCTCAAAACTCTGCTAAACTTAGAAACATTAGACCTACAATAGTAAGTCTGTGGTAATGTGAGAAATAATTAATATTGCACCTAATGCTGGAAAGCAGAAGACTCAGAATAAAAACCTGAAGTAGCAAAGGAAAGTGGTAAGACTGCAAAACTTCCTGATTCAGGATTAGCCTTAAAATGAACTAAACTAACAGTGAAGCATTAGTTCCAAGAGAAATCTAAATAATCATTAGGAAGCATTAACACTCAAAAGTTAAATTAAGTCATTGTTAGGAAGCATTAAGACTCAATTGTTTTACTGCAAATGGAGATCAAGAATAATGAGATTTTGGTTACAGATTTTGAAAAGATCAAACAAGAAATATCTGTTGTGAATTGGGCAGCTGAATTAGTGGGTGTTATTTATCAAATGTGGAAAAGTTTTAAATATTTCAAGATGGACATGTCCATCTTGGGGGGGGGGGGTGTCTTCAAGTAAAGAGAATAGATTTGGTTGCAAAGAGTATAAGTAAAATCAGTACATCATAAATTTAAGAAGTATAAAATGAGTGCTATGACAGGAGATTTAGAGGATTATGGATCAAGAGAGTTGGTCAAAAATCAATTAGAAAACTGAAGACACTATAGGAAAAAGGATGTAAAAAATAATGGTAAGGATAAGAAAAATATTAGGATGGGAGTTGGGCTTTTGAGGGATGATACGGGAAAGCTCATCTTTGATGATTAGGAGATAGCTAGGTTATTAAATTCTACTTCTTTTTGTTTCTATTTATTCTAATGAAGATTTGAGCAATATTCCTTGTTCTGAACAGTTGCTGGTAAGAGTTCCACGTGGCACCCCCACTCAATTAAAAAAAAATTCATCAAAGTAATATTTATGTATTAATAAATCATATTAATAGTATGATCTGATAATTTTAATACATTATTATACCACTTACTTCATTAATTAGATGTACAATCTTCTTGAGGATAAACTTTACAAATGTCTTGTATAAAGGCATCAAAAAGGCTACTTTTATCAGAATATAATGTTCTCCACATGTATTCACACAAATGCTTGTCAAATGTCTTTGTCCTGGTATGTGTAGTTGGTAGTTGTCTTTTGACACACCACCACCGATTCTCTATTAGGTTTGTACATGCACCACTTGAGTGGGGGTGCCATATGGAACTCTCACCCAGTTGCTAGATGGCAACAACATTTAAAAAGATAATCATACTTACATCAGTATTGGGAGAAGTTTTGAATGTAATAAAAGATGCTTTGCAAAGTCATTTAACAAAGTATAATTTTATTGGATAGTGAATGTGGCTTTACTAGGGGAATATTTTGCCTTACTAATCTTTTGACATTCTTTGAAGAGGTAACAACTTGTTTAGTCATATATAAGGGTGTACATATGAGGTTATTGGTGTGGATTTGGTTTGTCTGGATTTTCGGAATGCATTTGACAAGGTGTCACATAGAAGCTTTGTTTAAAAAAAAATTATCTGTAAGAGTGGGGGATAGATTTAATAAAAAACTGGCTAGATGGAAGAAAGCAAAAGATTCTTATAAATAAAGTTTAGCCAAACTGAATTAATGTCACAAGTGGGGTACCTCAGTGCTATGTGTCAGGACCTTTGTTCTTTCTTGATTTATGTCAGTGATGAAGGAATGGTGAATAAAGTACTTAAATTTGCTAATGCTGTTAAGGCTTTAGATTTTGTTGGCTGTAAGGAGGATGCTGCTGCTTTACAAAAGGATTTAGATTATTTGGTAAGTTGGGCAAATAAATGGAAGGTAATGCATGTGGGATATCACCATTTGAATTACTAGTATAACTGTATCTAAGAAAAACATGTTGGTGCTCTGATTGATTAATTTAATTTAATCCATCCAAGCAGTGTGCTGTTGCTAGTGTTAGGGAAGTAGGATTTTAAATATTATCTACAGAAATATTGAATATAATAATAAAAAAGTTATAATTTCATTGTATAGATGAATGGTTAGACCACATTTGGAGTATTGTATTCAGTCTTGGGCATTTTTCCTTGGAAAGGATAGGTTATAGTTATTGTGAAGGGCACAGAAGGGTTGCTAGGATAATACATCAGCTAAGAACAGGTTAAGAGCTCTGAAAGTATCTTTTGAAAAAAGAAAAATTAGGAACTGATTGAACTGTTCAAAATTGTTAAAGAGAAATTGTAGTGTCATCACTTTTTTCATACTTTACGTTAAGAATGGTAGGACAAATTTTGGTATGGTAAGTCATCTTCAGAGATGGTTTTATTTTTCTAATAGGGCAGTTAGCCTTTGGAATGGTTTGCCTTTCTTAAGATGTGGTGGAAGCAGTGAATTTCTGGGAGTTTAAGAGAAGAATTGAATGATAAGGGCTAGTTTTGTGTTTATATATAATACTTTAGTTCAGTAAATGGACCAATAGACCCTCTGTTGTCATTCAGTGTTATTAGCTCCAACTATTTGGGTGCATTATTTCTATTTCTAACTGTGTTTCTGGCAAAACTGCACAGGTTTAATAGTGTGAGTCTAGCCAGCTGGCCCACATGCTAATTGCTTTGGCAACCAATCAAAGTTGAAGCTTTGATCTTGCTGCCCCCACTTCCTGATACTTAGTTTGGTTATGCCATACATCTGAAGTGAGGATTGCAAAACCAGTATGGCACTGGCAAGTGAAACAGTATTGCTAGTCACAATTATGGTTACCTTCTAATGTATACTAGCAATCTTTTGCTGGTGCTTTCTGAATTTTACTAGCAAAAACTTTAACTCTAACCAGCAATTTGCTAGCTTGCTAACATTATTTTTAAGCCCTGATTGCAAAGTGCAAGTGTGAAGATCATCTGAATTTTTTATACAAACCATGTAGAAGCTAATGTCGGGTTTCAAACATTTCTACTGTAATGTACATTAAATATAACTCATGTTAGTATATTTTATCAAGGTGTATTTTTCTGGTGTACTGATTTATGACATTCAAGCAAATCTATCATACAGTATTTTCATCATTAAGTTATATTTAGTTATCTTATTTATCAGTAGTTCTTAATGATAATGGGGAGCTCATGGGTTGCAGTACATGATGTTATGTGCAGTAACATGTAGCTCATTTCTAGATCAGTAGTTCTTAATGACTGGGGAGTTCATGGGTTGCATTACATGATGTTATGTGCAGTAAAATGTAGCTCATTTCTAAAAAAACAAATTGAATGATTGGTAATGTAAAACATACTATCTGATGTTGGATAATAAAAGGTATGACTAATTGAAAACTACGGCTACAAGCAGTCGACTTTCATCAAGTCAGGTTTTTAACATGTCAGTTATGTATGTTTACTTTTTGGCCTGATGATTTGCTTGAAATTGACGGACAATTCTTCTTACCGTGCAAGAATTTATAGCTGGCTTTTTCACAAGATTAATTTTATGTATAATAATAAATATTGGGACTCTTAATTAGATACTTTTTCATTTCTCCTTACTATGACTTTCATTACTTTACTAAGATGTTACATTCAGTTACAGGTCATTTTGTTTGCTACAGTTAATAAGATTTTTTGTACTGTTGGCAGTAGAACTGGGCAATTAATTCATTTAATTTATACAATCAATTAGTATCACATAAAATAATTGATTAATTAAAATTTGTGTTTCTAATTGTTGCTGTTTTCAATTATTCCAACTATCAGAATAAAACAAACAAACTCCATTATGATTTTTCTATTATTTTAGGTTAATTCAGGGTTGTTCTGTGTAATACATTAGTGTCATGATTCACAAAAATAATCAATCTAAATTAGTGTTTTTCAAAAATCATTTATCAAATTCCATTAATTGCCTAGCACTAGTTAATACTGTGTAAGCCTATTCTACAATTTCAACTATACACAAGTCAGACTAGTGATAGAAAATCTGATTTCATACTGTTTTTTACAATGAAAGAGATGAAAATGTTTGTAACACAACCAAAGTATTTTATATTGCTGCTATTAATTACCTTTGGATATTTATTATTTCGAGTGGGGAAAAAATAACGAGATTTTGTTTTAATGTTCTCCATGCGGCCATTGTTCTTTATACTATAATCAAATTCTAATGTATTTTTATCATCCAAGTTTTCAAAGGTGAAATACTTTTTAAAATAATGTTACTCAGTTTATTTTTGCACTTTGTTAAAGCTGGAAACATATATATGTAGGCATTTCTGAACAATT